GGCTTTAGGGGTTTAGGGCTCAGGGTTTCAGGGTTTAGGGGCTTTAGGGGTTTAGGGTTCAGGGTTTCAGGGTTTTGGGTTTAGGGTTCAGGGCTTTAGGGCTTTAGGGCTTTAGGTTTTTAGGGCTTTAGGGGTTTAGGGTTTTAGGGTTTAGGGTTTAGTCTTTTGAGGTTTAGGTTTTAGGGTCGGCGAATGTATTCTAAGCCATACCCTAAGGCTCAAAATAGCCCAAAAGCATTATATAGCGTGGCCTTTGGGCCCAAAAGCCTTAAATAAACTATGAGTCTTTAGAGCATTAGGGATATAAACTCTAAACCCTAAACCCTCAACCCAAGGCTTTCGGGCTTGCAGGCTCTTAATACACTAATGTAGTGGTCTGTAGAGGGGACCCTAGTTCAGACCCCAACTTCCCATGCGACACTACGCTGTGCAACCAGGAGGTAGTTTACATGACCCTAAACCCTAAACCCTAAACCCTAAACCCTAAACCCTAAACCCTAAACCCTAAACCCTATATGAGCCAGGTCAGGCTCGTGTGAGGGGTTGCGAGTTCCGTGCTCCACCAGGTCTCGAAGTACGGAGTCTTTCCTGGATGTAATTAGGGTTTAGGGTTTAGGGTTCAGGGTTTATAGGGTTTATAGGGTTTAGGGTTTAGGAGTCCAGTTGGCGGCCCATTTTGACTGTTGGAGCGGCTCCTGCTGCCTCAACCTTCTGGCCGGGAGGGGCTTCTCGGCGGCACTGGAGCGATCATATACTCCGCGATGAGATTCCTTCAACTTCTCGCCACTGGATCCCACGTCACTGAGAAAGCGCATCCTTTTGCAGCATCGCCTTCTCTGCCTTGAATTGCAAGCCCTCAAACCTAAACCGCTCAGGCGACAAAATCCTAGTCAAGTTCCGAAGCCTGCCATCCTACGACTTTCTGGAGGACCTAGAGTTTGGGGTTTAGGGTTTAAGGTTTTTGACCGTTGAAATACCCATACACAACATTTTCAATGATCACAAGCGCAGCAGCACTCACAATAGTACTGATAACAGGTGCAATCCACAATGCTTTCACTCATTCCGCCCAATAACATAGCAATGTCAGCCAACCCCACCCATAAAAACTCCAAAACCCCTTCATCAAGGAATATACCTCAAACTATAATAGAAACCCTAATATGTTGTCAGGTAAATTCCTTATTTAAGAGGGTTTGCGAGTCTCTGGGGCAACCTGAAAGCCTTGGCGTTCTCGGCTGCAAAGGCCCAGTCAACCCTAAACCCTAAACCCGAAACCCTGAACCCGGGCTAAACCCTAAACCTTAAATCCTAAACCCTGAATCCTAAATCCTGAACCCTAAACCCTAAACCCTAAATCCTAAAGCCTAAACCCTAAACTAAACCCGCTGGGCCCAGTCACCCACAGAAAGAGCACAAAGCTGTTGTGCTTCACACGGCGGGGCACCCACCTCGGCTTCATCTTCGCTGCCTTAAGGGCCTTCTTCCTGATTCTTGGGGCTCAGGGTTTAGGGGATTCATGTTTAGGGTTTAGGGGTTCAGGGTATAGGGTTTAGGGTTTAGGGGATTTGGGATTTAGGGTTTAGGGGATTTAGTGTTAGTGGCTTGCAGGAGTTCAGGGCATTGGGTTCAGGGCTTCATGTTCAAATTCGGCAGTCTTGGGAAAAGTGAGGGTTTCAGATTTTTGTCCTCAGCTGGGATCTGGAATCTGGACAACCCAACCAGAATTGCATCCCAAACGGTTGTGACCGTAAGCCCTGCCAACCCTACACCCGAAGCCATCGCCCATAAATGTGGCCTCCATGGTCCATGGTAGTTAGTTCCTTGTTACCTGTTTCACCCTGTTTCTACCAACAACATCGGTTAAGCAAGAAAAGGAACTACAATCCCTAAGGCTCCATGTACCCATATAGTACATACTTAGACTTAGGCCTTAAAGTACCCTAAACCCTAAACCCTAAACCCTAAACCCTAAACCGACTTAGGCCTTAAAGTACCTATATAGGGACCCCTTTAAGGCCTAAGTATCTACTGGAAAGGTACATGGAGCCTTTGGGAATGGAGACTCAGCAGGCCCTAAGCGGCACTACCTTAAGGACGAAATGAACCCTAAAAGAGTTTAATTAGGGTTTAGGGTTTAGGGTTTAGGGTTTAGGGTTTAGGGTTTAAAGAGTTTAAGGTTCATATACCATGTAGGGATTCATAGTATATGGGTATAGGGCCCCTACGTTTCAGGGTCATTTCGTCCTTAAGGTACAACAAGATTCAGACCGGCGACTTGGACCAGAACTCCTTGTTGCACTTGCCACCTGCGCCCTCATCCTCGCAACACGCCCTACTTGGAGGATCATGGGACTTAGTAAGTAGGGTTTAGGGTTTAGGGTTTGGGGTTTAAATACACCCAGAAATCGAATCCCCAACTGGACCTAGACACCCCAGCTAATGCGCTCTTGAACCCTATCTAGTGAAAACCTCTGTAAGGGTACATTAGGGGTCCTGCTCCAGGTGCGATGCCCGCATGACAGGATCTTTAGTGGCTTCAGATTCGAGGTTTCAGGGTCTAGGTTTTTTTGTTGGTTTAGGGTTCAGGGTTTAGGTGGTGCTTTGAAAGCCGGCACTAGTCTTTGTTCAGATGGCAACAGGCTTCGGGTTCTTGCACATACGCCACGCGAGGCTTGGTTTCACGTGCCGGAAATCCTCTGACCCAGGAAGCCTTAAACTCAAATACACGACAGGGAATCCAACCCTCGCTTGGAAGGGCTCTGTATTGGGATCCTAAACCCTAAACCCCTAAACCTCTAAACCCTAAACCCCTAAACCCTAAACCCTAAACCCCTAAACCCTAAAACCCTAAACCCCTAAACCCCTAAAACCATACACGGTTTTCCTATTACGACGCTCGACCGGGAGGGCTGTGGTTCTCTAGCACTTGCTCAAGGAATCACTCAAGGAACCTAGGGTTTAGGGTTTAGGGTTTAGGGTTTAGGGTTTAGGGTCAAGGAACCCTAAACCCTAAACCTTTCGCCTGCCTGACCCCTGAACTTTAAAACTCAACCCTCAGACGAGGCACTAAACCCTTCAACCCTAAACACCTAATCCCTAAAGCCTCAAAAAAGGTTGTGGGCTTCTGTATCGCAAAGTTATAATAAGGAGCCCTAAGCAAAGAATTGGTAAGCTTGGCTTCTATCTTAATTCCCTAAACTCTAAACCCTAAACCCCAACCCTAACCCTAACCCTAACGGGTCCGGGAAGTGCATCCACCACTCCAGTGCGAAGAGCGAGCCCGTGTCGTTCAGGCCAAAGAAGTGGATCACAGGAATAAATGGAACAGTGAGGATGTACCTGGAGCGGCTGAGAGTCAAGAGCTCAGGGGCCTAGGATTGAGGGTTTTGTTTGTTTTAAGGGCCCTTTTCCGACATACACAGCTGGAATTCCTGACCAGGAGGAGCCTGGATTGAGGGGTTTAGGGCTTTAGGGTTTTAGGGTTGAGGGTGGAGTTTATATGATCCAGTGGTTAGGTTTCTGCAACTTTAGCTCTCCATGGCTTCAGGCTTTCCCCAAAGCTCCTAAATCCTATCTCTAAACCCTAATTGCCAACAAACTCTCCCACAAGCCTCCCCAACCCTAAACCCTAAACCCCAAGCTCGAAACCCTAAAACCTAACTCTGAACCCTAAAACCTAAACCCTACACTCTAACCCCTAAACCCCTAAACCCCTAGACCCTAAACCCCTCAACCTTAAGCCGAAGTGCTTGTACCAGTTCGAGCTCCATGGCCCGGCCCATTGCTGCAGGGCATAGTGGAACTCCTGCGGGCTGCACGAGGAGGGTTTAGGGTTTAGGGTTTAGGGGTTTAGGGTTTAGGGTTTAGGGTTTAGGGTTTAGGGTTCAAACCCTAAACCCTCAACCCTCAGTTTTTGGGTTTAGGTTTTAGGGTCTACGGCGTGGTGGGGCTTCAGGGTCTAGGAGATTAGGTGGGTTTAGGGTTTAGGGGTTTAGGGGTTAGGGGTTTAGGGGTTTAGGGGTTTAGGGTTCAGGCCTTTAGGGGTTTAGGGTTTAGGGCTTTAGGGCTTTAGGGGTTTAGCGCTTAGGGGTTTAGGATTCAGGCCTTCAGGGGTTTAGGGTTTAGGCCTTTAGGGGTTTAGGGCTTTGCTCTCGGACTTACGGTTAAGACCTTGTTCTGCTCGCGCTGCCTGCCCAAACCCAGTCTTCAAGCGCAAGGCCTTCAAGAGGGCGCAGGGCGTGGGCTGCCCAATGTAGGGGCCTTGTAATAATTAGAGCTAGAATAAGGGTTCCTTTAAAGGGATCCTTAAGCGATTCTATGCGGGATCTATGATAGGGTTCTATATTAGGGGCCTGAATAATTAGAATAGGGTTCTGGGCTCCTTTATAGTATATCTATAAAGAAGGACCCCCGAAAATAGTGTTGGCTCCTATATTAGACCCGGCAGGTAGTACCTGTTTTTGGTAGAGCCGACTTTATGCTTAGGCTTAGGATCCTATAGTAAGGAACGAACGTAGCCAAAACACAAGTGCGACGTTGATGGGTCTAGGTGGCACTGCTGCAGATTGTAGACTGTGTTTAAGCGCTCAGTCTTGTTGTGTTTGTTCCCCAAACCGTTGACCCTAAGCCCAAAGTCCTAAACCCAAACAAACCTGACCTGACCGGACGATGTTCGCAAGCTCTTTGGGGTACAGACGCCCACTAAACCTCAGTACTGATTCCTTCTAACACACATCCGTTACAACACACACACACATATATATATATATATATATATATGTATTTGATTATTCCTAGTTGTTTGCAAAAGTTCTGTATAGTTGGCACACAGGTTTTATGCAAAATCGGAGCATCAGGGCCCTAAAACAAAAGTCCCGAGGCACTCCTCCGGGTCCCAGCCGAACTCGCCCTGGATCAGCAGGTCAACGGTGGAGGCGTGGTGCCTTTTGGGCTGATGTGTTGAAGGTTTTTGGGGTGTGGGCGGCGGTTTTAGGTTCAGAGTGGGTTAAGGATCGGAAGGGGTTTAGGGCTTGCAGCTTGCGGCTGCTTTTGCTGATTGGGTTTAGGGCGGCTTCGGGTTTTAGTAATAAGATGATGACGGTTTAGGGTTTCGGGTCTTGGCTTCGTGATGACGTAGTTGACAGTGACGGTCTAGGGTTTAGGGTTTAGGGTTTAGGGTAACCCTAAACCCTAAACCCTAAACCGTTACGGCGATGAAGACAGGGTTGGCGCTTAGCTGATTTATGTAGCAGAGGCTTTCAATGCCGGGTGATGCCGATGACGATGCTGCTGATGATGACGATGATGGCGATCAGCTGGCGATAAGGATACTGATGACGATGAAAGCCTGAAACCCTAAAGCCCTAAAGCCCTAAAACCCTAAAGCCCATAGTTAATGATGGTTCCTCAGAAGACTGGCCGAAGCAGCTCTCAGTTTCTTTAGTTGCAGACGAACTTTAACGAGGTCCTGCCTTGAACCTCCTCGAAGACGCGAACAGGAAAACTTCTGTAATTACCCAGAGAGCCCAATACAGCTTGATTCAGGAATGTAGCTTAAAGTATAAGGGCCTTCATATTATGATTTAAGCTATATTCCTTCTTTAAGGGGTATTGGGCTCTCTGGGTACTTCGAGGTGCCGGTTCAGGGAGGCTCTTCCAGTCGAGACTTGACTTCTTGGCCACTTATGTCGCGGCCGGTAAACATCCATTTCGGACGGTTTAGGGTTTAGGGGTTTAGGGTTTAGGGTTTAGGGTTTAGGGTTTAGGGGTTTAGGGTTTGGGGTTTAGGGTTTAGGGTTAAACGTTTCAGGACGTTCTTATGATGTTTTGTTTTGCGTACGGTTTCTCCCTAAAGCCTAAACCCTAAACCGCTAGGGAAAGCCGCAGCATCCTTCCCAACCCGAGAAAGGCCCTAAACGAAGGGGCCACAATATTTACCAAGACTATTTTGGGGGTTCCTTATTCTAATTATAGTATAATTTACCCCAAAACCCTACTCTAATTATAAGCCCCCTATACTACATACGCTAAGCCCTATAAACCCTAAACCCTCAACCCAAACCCCCTAAACCCTACCCTTAACCCCTAAACCCCTAAATCCTAAACCCTAAGCCCCTATATAAAACCCTAAACCCTAAGAGGCCTGTTGTGCTCCAGAACAAACTCCTCCCACGGCAAGGAAAAGAAGTCCGCAAACCTCGGCTTGACCGCTGGTTTCGGGGTTTAGGGTTTTGGGATTTAGGGATTTAGGGTTTCAGGGTAAGAAGAGATCATCTCGCTGCTCAGATGTAGTGCTCCCTACCTCATTATGTGCAGCATATAAGGGAGCTAATGGTAAACTTTACAAGTCAGCTACTCTAATACTACGCCCAACAAGCTCAAGACATTGAATTCCTAATTATATACTTTGTTCCTAAAGTAGTTACATATATAGGGACAACTTTTAATTTAAGCCCAAGTTTATGCACTATGAGTACATGGATCATTATTCATTAAACCCCAAACCCCAAACGTTTAGGGTACCTTCACTACCGCTATAGATCCCTGAAGATAACCCATTACGCATAGGAGCCTGCGGACCCTTCGGCGTATGAGCTACTGAAAACAGATTCCCAAATAAACGGTTTAGGGTTTAGGGTTTAGGGAACCTGAACTACAGACACGCCACACCCACAAAGTGTAAGTATGTAAGTAAGTCAGCATGTTTGTACGCATGCATGTATGTATGTGTGGATGCATGTGTGCATGTATATACAGATACTGATACATGTATATAGATAGATAGACAGATAAATAGAAACAGATGGATGGATCAATGGATCGGTGGATAGACAGATAGATAGATAGATTGATTGATAGATAGATAGACGGATAGATAGACGGATAGATAGACGGATAGATAGACGGATAGATAGATAGATAGATAGATAGATAGATCGATGGATGGATGGATGGGTAGATAGATGGATAGATATAGAAACGCTCCAACTGCCCACCCACCCCTCCTGTGTTTGATCTGGGGCGCGGGTGGGTTAAGAACTTCTGGAACTCGTAGACAGGGAAAGTGGCGCCGTGCATCACCTGGTCGTTGCTTTTGCGGGCTTCCGGGTACGAGATATCGGCAAACCCTAAACCCGGAAGCCGAAACCCATGTATGAGCTTGGGGTTTGACGTTCTAAGCTGTAGGCATGCCGAGGCGTGGTGTAAGTACAACTTTCGTAAATCAGCAGAGTTGGAAATGGCTAAAAAGCCCCCAAACCCTTTGGCATCTTACCCTGAGGCTCTATGGACTCGTATTTCAAAGGCTTTTGGGCCCAAAGGCCAAACTACATAATGCTTGTGGGCCATTTTGAGCCTTAGCGCTACAGCCGAATATCTTATGCTGGCATGTTGTGAGAGTTGCAGCATGGATTTTTTGAGAGGATTTATTTAACAGCTTCGGGGTGGCGGAGTTATCAGCTTCAGACTTCGGTTGTATGCTACATCACAGCTCAGTGCAAGCACAACGAAGAATAGGCTGCAAAAGTCTACTGTAGCCCCCTACCTAAGTTGTAGAGTATCCAACCTTTAAGTTGCTTGGCATCAAGTCAAAGACTCTTGCTTGCCAGGAGGCATCACCTTCACTGCCGAGACCCAAAATCCCAACTGAACCCCTCACCCCAAAATCCTAACCCCCTACACTCTAACGCAAAATCCTGCCCCCCTCCAAACTCGAAACCGGTAGACCCCTTACATGCGATGACCGCGAACCACGGCCGTAAAGCCCGAACCGGGGCGCATCGTGATCAATGTAGATTTGCTGAATGGCCACATACGAGAACCTTGGCACGCCAGTCATATGGGTGTCAGGGTTTAGGGTTTTCCAGTGCTTGGACGGTTTGTCTACAGCAAGACTTTACGCTTCGTAGGGGTTCCGTCGTGTACGGAACATCAACCTTTTACTTGTGATGCAGGGGCCTAAATAGTTACCAATTCTATTTTCGGGGCTCCTTATTCTAAATAATTGGGCCCCCAACCCTAAACCCTAAACCCTGAACCCGAAACCCTAAACCCTATTCTACTTATTAACGCCCCTATATGAAATCCTGTGTTCTTCATGGCTTCAGAGCTTGCGATGTAGGTTTCTGGTGTTTGAAGATCCGCCTCTGAAACCCTTCAAACCCTAAACCCTACTCAAACCCTTGAAACCCTAGATTAGGGTTTAGGGTTTAGGGTTTAGGGATTAGGGTTTAGGGTTTAGGGTTTAGGGACTCTTTCATGCCTTCTACAACTTTAAGCACCCTCTGAAGGTTCGAAGTTGAGGGTTGTGGCCTGCTAGTGGGCACCTCGAGCCCTTTCCTTCAGGCTCATGACCCTCTAGGGTTTAGGGCTTAGGATTTGGGATTAGGCTTTAGGGCTTCGGGTTGAGAGTTAAAGATTGACGAGACTACACAAGCTCCACAAATGGGAGTTAGGACCCTAAACCCTAAACCCTAAACCCTAAACCCTAAACTTAGGGGGATCCTTGGGGGACATAGACCCTCTCAATAAGGTCCCGTTTAAGCGAGCCAGAAGTAGGGTTCAGAAGGGTCCCGTTAAGGGGTCTCCCTAATACAACCTAGGAGCCTAAGCCCTACATCCTAAATCCTAAACCCCAAACCCTAAACCCAAACCCTAAATCCAAACCCCCAATCCCCAAACCTCAAACCCGAGACCCTAAATCCTAACCCCCAAACCCCAAACCCTAAACCCCAAACCCGAAACCCAAAAACCCAAACCCTAAACCCTAAACCCTAAACCCTAAACCCTAAACCCTAAACCCTAAACCCTACAAACCCTAATCCCTAAACCGTAGAAGGGTTTGGGCTTAGGGCCTCAGGGCTGCGGGTTGCCTGGGAAAGGGAGGTTCCAGGAATGTCAAGGTGCTTTAGGGGCTTTTAGGGTCTTAGGGTTTAGGGGTTTTAGGGTTTAGGGCAGTTTAGGGTTTACGGTTTTAGGGTTTAGGGTTTAGGGTTCTAGAGTTTAGGACGGTTGAGGGTTTCAGGGTTTAGGGTTTTAGGGTTTAGGGCTTTAGGTGCTGAACCTTGGCTGAAGTCCCTGGCCAAAATTGGTCAACATTCTTTTAACTAGCGAAAAGGATGTGAAATACACGCATACATGTATGTAAACCCGTGTATTGCGTGCGTATATACATACACATGTAACGACCATCCCAGAGACCCCTCTACCCGATTATCCAACGCTTGAACCCAATACTGAAACTACAAGCTTCGGAATCTAAAGCCGCAATGTAGGAGCCTCAATAATTAGAAGAGGGTTGTGGGGCATATTCTCAAATTAGACTGTAATTATCAGGAGGATCCCCCAAAATACTATAGGCAATAATATAGGCCGCTGTATTAACCTTTAAACACTGACCCTTGAACCCTGCACCCGAAATCCTAAAGTCCTAGATGCAATCTACACCACCAGCCGACGACCTGCGAACGTCCAAAAACTGTTCCGTAAATAGCCCTGTATGGTTTCTACAATGCAAGCGTTTAGGGTTTAGGGGTCGGGTTTTAAGGTTTTTAAGGCTTTTAGGGTTTGGGGTTTAGGGTTTAGGGTCTACGGCTTACTGAACCAAACCTCTCGAAACACAAACTAGTACAGGAGCGTTATAGTCACAATCCCTATACATCCCGACAACAGCCTGTCTGCACAACAAAGCATCTAAACAACCTTGTATAAGATCTTTTTTTTTGAAACCCTAAACGCAAAACCCTTAAAATTCTAAACTCTAAAAGCCCTAAACCCTGAACCCTAAAGCCCTAAACCCTAAAAACCCTAAAACCCCTAAAGCCTAAACCCTAAAAACCCTAAAACCAATAAGCCCCAAACGTTTGCGTTGTAGAAACCATACAGGGCCAGGTCACGGGATGCCGAAGCACAGGGTGCCTGACTGGGGAGCTGGTTCCCTGTTGAGGATATATTAAAGAATGATCATTGTGAATCCTTTTTGGGTTTCATTATCAGGGTTTAGGGTTTAGGGTTTAGGATTTAGGGTTTAGGGTTTAGGGTATATAACAAACATGTATCCAACAAGGACACAGGGAGGTTGAGCGGGGCTCAGCATGTGGGATTTAGGGTTCAGGCTTTAGGGTTTAGGGCTTCGAGTTTGGGGTTTAGGGTTGAGGGTTTCGAGTTTGGGATGTACTATTATTTAGGGTTTCGAGTTTAGGGTTTATGATTTAGTGTTTCGGGTTTAGGGTTCAGGGTTCTACCTACACCCAAAACCCCTGATTTAGGGTTCAGATTCAGGGATCTTTGGGTTTACTTTAGCGCTTAGGTTTTTTTTACTTCCCCAATAAGCCCGGGAAATAAAATGTTAAACTTTCAGATTCACTACCAAATTCTAAGAACCCACAAAGTTGAAAGGTTGGGTATTGGGGAAATAAGTTTTTGGTTCACTGGATGCCTGGTCACGTGCCGGAAAGCTTTGTGAGGCTTTTGAATCCGTGACGTACCTACAGACGGTAAGGCTCTAGGACCTTACGGGGTTTAGGCTTCGGAATTTGGGATTACTCATTGATGTGTCTACCCATAGGCCCCATAGTAGTTCCTTTTGGAGAGTACCTTATAGGATTCTACATAATAACCCCAAAAAGGAACTACTATGGGGCCTATGGGTATACGAGGGATCGATATGGTTGAAGGCATGCTCACTAATGTTGTACCAAGGGTGTCGTCGTGCAAAGCGGCACTGTGCAGGGTTCTGTTTCATTGAGGGACCGACGAACAAATCCAAACCCCAGCATAGCTGGATTGCAATCTCTCTCTGCAGGCAAAGCGCATGTCCACCACATCTCTGGGAACATCGCCAACGCGGCGCAGTAGGCCACCTTTGCCGACAGTTTGGGCCGGCGACTCGGGCTGTGATAGTAGGAAGTGTAGCTATGAGAATGACACACTCTGCTGCTGCTGCCGCTGCTGCTGCAGATTGCTAATTCAAAACTCTAATTCCTAATTACTACTTGTTGCTTAATTACAAGTTATCCTTTTCTAACTACGAACTACTACATACGACATACTACTCATATTTTCTGATTACTAACCACTAGATACAGAAGCTACAACAACAACAACAACAACAACAACAACAACAACAACAACAACAACAAAACAACAACACAA